CCCCCTCCTTTCGTTTCTCTTCCCCGACCTGGCATCCTTCTCCACGGTCGCGGATCTTGCCACACATCTTTGAGATCTTGATGTACACTACTGTGCAGCCTGCCCTGAAGCCGATCTCGCTGCTCACCCCCCCCCCCCCCACCTTCGTCACCCTTTACTTCCTCACCACCCGCCTCCCTAATCGCCTTATTCTTGCGCGTGACGCTCTGTTTGCACTGTCTCCCACTGCACTCACCATCGACCACTTTTCCACCTCCCTAACAAAGGTCGAGACTCGTCTCCGCGCCATCGTCGAGTCCACCGGCATGGTCGTGGCCCGCCTTTCAGAGCTGCTCTCCATCCAAGGTCCTTCTTTCTGGTGCCTCCGCCTTCATCATTGAGTCCACGGCAACGGTCACTGCACCTGGCCGCTCTGCTAGGCGCTCGTAGTGGGGTCGTGGTTGTGGGGCATGAGCAGGCGGTCAGGGCACTGGTGAGGCCCAGGGAGCTGGCGGAGGAGTGGGTGTGGAGGAGGCGGGGGAGCAACAACAGCTGCAGCAGCAGCCGCCACAGCAGCTGCAGTGGGATCCTGGGAGTTCCTGGCGTGGTGCGGGCCCTGGTGGTTGGGCCCCGGGGCAATCACTGCCCGGGGTCTTGTGTGGCTTCTCTGGGAGCCAGGGTGGCGTGGGGCCTAGGGGTCCCGTTCATTGTGCGCACCACATCCATACCTACCCCCTATGTGGCCAGGTCTGCAGGCGCACGGGTCACACCGTCGTTCGCTGCTTCCGTTGCCTGGACGATCTGTATCGTGGTCGCTTTGGGAACCTGGCAGCCCTCCTAGAGTGGCCTGTCCTTTTCCACCGCGACATCTCGGTGATTGAGTAAGAGATGGCTCAGATAGGCTGTGCCATGTTTTCTTTGTACTCTGAGGATTATAGTGTGTCTGAGTCTTAATATCCTGCTGTGTGCAGTCTAGGATTTTCTGCTATGTGTATGGTAGTCTAGGATTTTATGCTCTGTGTAGTCTAGGATCTTCGTCATCCTCTGCTGAGGCGACCCTATCCTTCACCCTAAACTCGGACGCGTCTCGCTGCTTCTTCCGAGACCACATTGCAGTCACACCGCTTCTTGCACCGATAACTCTCCCTCGCTGACTCGCATGCCACAGTCGTCGCTCGCAGCACCATGGATCTCCCCAGTCCGGCTGTCCCGTCCGGCTCCTTACCGGCTTGCACATCCCTACGTTTTCCATCAACCTGGCTGGTGTCGGTCATATTTAGGACCTCAATGTCACCACCACGTTCCCTGGACAAGTAAGATGTGCAGCTTGTACAGACGCCGCCACATGCACCCGTCTTGCTACCTATGACCGTGACTGTGCGTCTGGTCTCTTCACACTGCATACAAATCGCCCAAGGTTGCCGCGTCCACCAAGGTTGTCGCGTCCTTCTCCTGTCTCTCCCTCACCAACATGGCACTCCTATGGCACCACCGCTTAGGTGACCCTGCTCTCCCAAGTCTGCGTCACATGGTACACCACGGTCTCCCCGTATCGGCCCCCCCTCCCTTCCCTACTTCTCTAGCCCCCAAGTGCACTACCTGTATCAAGGGCTGCCAGAGACCGCCCCTCAGTCCTCCTCGTTTCCTCCCACCGCTGCTCCCATACAGACTCTGCACATGGACGTCTAGGGCCCCACCCTGGTCCCTCGGCCTCACCGGGGGCGCTACTTCCTGGTTGTCGTCGACGACTTCTTGCGATTTACCACTGTGTTTCTGTTAGAGCGGAAGGCTGACATGCCTAATGCCCTCCTCCCATGGCTTTGCATCGTCCGCACTCAACACTCCCTGTCCGTGCTCCGCCTTCACTCCGACCGTGTGGCAAGTTTGCCTCAAGCCGCCTTGGGGCATTCAATCGTGTAGAGAGCATCATCCAGACGTTCACCCTTCCAGACTCGCAGCAGCAAAATGGGATAGCTACGCGGCCTGGTCATGGAGGTGGCTCGCACCTCCATGGTCCATGCCTTTGCCTCCATTTTCTGTGGCTGTTCATGGTGCGCTACGCGGCTTACCAGCTTAACATGTGGTCTCGCTCCTCGTAGCCACAGGTTTCTCCGACCCTCCTCTGGACTGGGTCTCCTGGTGATGCACCTGTGTTCCACGTTTAGGGTTGCTTGACCCACATCCGCGCCCCCAGCGAGGACAACCTCTCAGCCCGCACCATCCCCTGTATCTTCCCTGGGTTCCCGTTCGACGCTCCTGACTGGCTATTCTACCATTCGGAGCAGTGCCGCATCCTTCACTCTCGTGACATTACGTTCGACAAATCCGTATCTTTTTACACTCGATTTTCTCACCATGGTGCTAGTGATCCTCCTCCCCACACTCTTCCTCGCCCCTCCTCCGCCTGCCGCTCCCCTCCCACCCCGCTCGGCCCCGTCTAGTGTTTCCCACGCCACTCCCCTCCCCTCGGTTGGGCATGTGGGTGAGTCTACTAACGCTGGGGGCCCCATGGCTAGGGGTGCGCCTGCTGCAACTGTGGCGCTTCTCCCCCCAGCTCCAGTGCCCTAAGCACCTCAGCAGCCTCCCCCGCTCCCGCCGCAGCAGCAGCCGCATCAGTAACAGTAGCAGCATTAGCCGCAACAAGAGTAGCGGCAGGGGACTGTGGACTCTGGGGGTGCTAGTTCCGGTGGTCCTGGTTCTGGGGGTGCTACAGTAGTCCTAGGGGTGCTGGCTCAGAGAGTATTTGTGGGACTGGGGGTTCAAGCGTATGTCGGGAGCAGCAGCAGTAGTAGTAGAAGCAGCGGCACCCGCAGCCGCAGCTTGCACTTCGTCTCCTTGGCCTTTCCTCTGGTTCCCCTAGTTGCCCGCCCATCCCTCCTACAGCGCTTCACCCATGAGGGTGACCCAGATGCCCTAGACATCCCTACCCCACGCTCGTACGTTGAGGCGGTCTCAGTGCCCTATGCAACATAGTGGATACAGACCATAGAGGCAGATATGGCATCTTATGTTGATGCGATTCCTCCACCTGGGGCGAACATAGTCGATGGCATGCGGATCTATAAGGTGAAGCGTCTGCCTGGAGAGCCGCCACGGTTCAAGGTGTGGTATGTGGCCAGAGGCTTCAGTCAGCGAGAGGGTGTGAACTTCTTCGAGACCTTCTCTCCTACCCCAAAGATGACTACTCTTCGGGTGCTCCTCTACATGGCCGCACAGCGAGACTACGAGCTCCACCAGCCTTCTCGACAGTCTTCTTGCAGGGCAGCCTATACGGTCAGATCTACCTACGGCAGCCACCAGGCTTCATCGAATCCTTGGCTCCTGGGACCAAGTGGAGCCTGCGCCGCCCTATCTACGGTCTACGTAGGTGCCCCATGAGTGGCACAACACGCTGTGCACTACACTCACGGCTCTCCATTTCTTCCTGTCCTCTGCTGACCCCTCGCTCTTTGTTCGTGTTGGTCAGGCTCCGTTCCAGGTATTTGTGTACATGTCGACCTTATCTTTTTACTCCATATAGCATCGCACTGGCCTCGGTAAAGGTTGAGCTGCTCAGGCAACACGCCTGTACACACTTGCGAGAGCTATGGTGCTAGTTCGGCTTCGAGATCTCTCGTGATCGTGCAACTTGCACAGTCACACTCTCCCAGTCCCACATGATGCAGCACGTCCTCCAGAGGTTCGACCTTCAGTTCTTGTCAGCACAGCCCACCCCTCTGCCTGTGGCCCACAAGCTCTCAGCTCCTGTTTCCAATTAGCAAGTTGAGCCTAGTAGTCCATACGCAGAGCTGGTGGGGTGCCTCATGTACTTGATAACGTGCACTCGTCCAGATCTAGCATACCCTCTTAGTACCCTTACTCGTTTTCTTGCGACTGGCAGACACAGACCAGAGCACCGGTCGGCTGCTAAGAGTTGTTGCAGTATCTGGCGAGTACATCAAAATCGGCGCTTGTGCTAGGAGGACGAGAGTCAGTGGTCCCCACTGGACACAGAGACGTGTCGTGGGGCTGGCGAATTGGAGACACTCAGGTTCTCACATGGCTACTTATTTAGCCTTGGTGCGAGTGCAGTCTCGTGGCGGTCCACTAGATCGTCGTCTGTAGCTCAGTCTAGTTGTGAGGCAGAGATCTATGCTGGTGCTATGGCCGCTTACGAGCTTCGCTGGTTGACGTCCTTGCTCACTGACTTAGGTGAGTGGCCTAGGTCTGCCCTGGTCCTGTTTGCTGATAACAGAGCCATGATCTTCATGTGTCAGGTTGTTCAACTTGCGGGCAAGGCCAAGCACATCCAGCAAGAGCAGGGCCTCAGAGGACGCCTCACAGACCAACGCTGCTGATGTCTTCACCAAGGCCCTTGAGCCTCGTGACTATCAGCGTTTTTGTACCCAGGTCGGTCTAGTTTCACTTGCCTCTCCCTTGCTTGTATCCTGATCTGTGCTATACCGGCTTTGTACTTGCTAATCCTTACCGATTGCCTTGTTACACTTGCTCACTGGCCTTCTGGCCCTTGTCTCAGTTGTCAAACTAGTAGTGCTGCCTTGAGTTGTTTGTTACATACTACAGAGGCTAGAATATTATTGCTGCCCTGGATTGCTGTATCCTGTTAGGCTCTGCCCCTATCCAGGTTAGGGGGATGTGTTAGAGTTCATATGTATTTGTGTGCTAAGAATATATGAATTATAACCTAGCTAGGGTACAATATTTAGATACTTTCCATGTGCTTGCCATGCCATAGTCAACTTTTCTCCTCTCAATACCACCCACCCAAGACGCGGCCATAAGCAGATTCCCTCACTACATTGCAGCTATTATGTCGAGTGTTGCGAGGTCTCCAAATTTGGTTAGCCTTAGGTGTTATTATGCGGAAGTACTGTAATGTGGTGTAATGGAGAATAAGAGCATGTTCCTACGAGCCTCTTCCCAGTCAACCCCTTCCCCGACTCGCGCGATACCTCGAGAGCGTGTTCCCAGAAACCCCGTTCAGAATTAGCCTGTTTCAGATATGCGTTCCACCATTCTCAAACACATAAAAACAGCTCGAGTCGAAAAAGCACTGAACAAACTCGCATGTGTCAGAAAATATATTCGCCTGGAAAGAGGCTAAAAAACACGCCCGTGAACCTCGGCAAGCCCAACCTCTCGTCGCACCACGCGGAACCGCTCTGAACAGTTTTGCATCAAAATTCACGGCACTGTAGCGCGAGTCTGGGAAGATGCTGCCTGGGAAGAGGTTTGTAGGAACACTCTAAGAAACTGGCCAGCTTCTAATGATTGCACAAGGTGTGCAAGCAACTGTACATAACTGTACATATACCGTAAGTTAGCATAACATATATGCTAGAGCTCATGGGGACCATGTGTTATGTACTACATCCTGTGCGCTCTCAAAAGCCAAAGAAAACCTGCAACAAAGTTATTAGTAACAGAAGGGGTTAAAAAGAAGTTGAAAAAGGTCTCTATGAGATGGGCAAGGTTGCAAGAGGAAGACGATCTTGACATAGGATAGGCGGGGAACGGAGAGCGCTGACAAAATCTACACAAGTGTGAGTATGAGTGTGGGTGTGTGCGTGCATGTTCATGCGTGCATAAACGTGTGCGCATGCGTGCGCGTGCGTGTGGGCCTGCATGTGTCCACGTGTGTGTGTGTGTGTGTGTGTGTGTGTGTGTATGTGTGTGTGTGTGCGCGCGCGTGCGCGCATGCGTGCATGTGTGTGTGCGTGTGTGCGTGTGTGTGTGTGTGCATGTGTGCGTGTATGTGCGTGCGTGCATGTGTGTGTGTGTGTGTGTGTGTGCGCGCGCGCACGCGCGTGCGTGAGTGGGTGCGTGCGTGGGTGCATGGGTGCATGGGTGCGTGCATGCGTGCGTGCATGCGTACAGGCGTGCGCGCACGTGCGCGCACGTGCGCGCGTGTGCGTGTGCATGTGTGCGTGTCCGTGTACCATGGAGAGGGGTCCGCTTGAGAGGGCGTCCAGCAGGGCGTCTGGCCTCAGTCCCACGAGGTTGGGTTGAGCTGACTGGCAGCTCTGGCAGCGGTGCAGGCAGCCACCCTCGCACCAAGGCAGGCCAGTGAAAGGGGACCTGTGAACAGGAGAAAACAGAAGAGAGATTAGGGAATTTGGGCTTAGTTCACCGAGATTGGTTAGCATTTAATGGCAGCTCTGGCAGCGGTGAGGGCAGCCGCCCTCGCACCGAGGCAGGCCTGTGAAAGGAGACCTGCAGATTAAGAAAGCAGGAGAAAGATTGTGGCGTCCAGGCTTAGTTCAGGGAGGATGGGTTATGCTGACTGGTAACTCCAGCAGCAGCGTGACAGGAGCCTTCTGGGGCCCTCAAACCAAGGCAGGCCAGTCAAAGTGAACCTGCCAAAGCAGAGGAGACCGAGGGAAAGGGAGCAGGGAACCTGGCCTCAGTCTAGCGAGATTGGGTTGCAAGGAATGGCAGCTCTGGCAGCGGTGCTGGCAGCTATCCTCACACCAAGGCAGGCCAGGTGTGACAGAAGTCCTTAGGAGCCGTCGCACCAAGGGAGGCCAGTGAAAGGCGACCTGTAGTCTAAGCAGCAGGGAATTAAAAGGGGCGCCTGGCTTCCGTCCAGCGAGGTTGGGCTACCATGAGTAGCAGCTGTGGCAGCGGTCTGACAGGAGCCCTAAGGAGGCCTCAGGAGCCGTCACACCAAGGTAGGCCAGTGAAAGGCGACCTGTAGTTTAAGAGAGGCAGCAGGAGAATGAAAAGGGGTGTCTGGCCTACGTCCAGCGAGGTTTGATTGAGCTGACTGGCTGCTCTGGCAGCGGTGCCAGCAGCCACCCCAAGGCATACCGATGAAAGGCGACCTGCAGATAAAGAGGGACAGAAGGACTAAGTGCAGCACAGGTGAGGTTCTGTTAGTGTCGCTGGGAGGCACCCTCACACCAAGGCAGGCCAGTAGAAGAGGGGCTGCGAAACAGGATACAGAGAAGGAGAACGAGTTTTGGGTCGACTCAAAAGTCATCAGGCCAGTAGAAGAGGGCCTGCGAAACAGGAGAGGGAGCAGGGAAACGAGGCGAGGTAAATCCGACGCACGATACCACCAAGAAGTGCTAGTCGTGCTGGTGTATGCCACGCCTGCTTTTGAGTCGACTCAAAAGCTGCGAAACAGGGGACGGAGCAGGAGAATGAGGCAAGGCAAAACAGAAGCACGATGCCACCAAGATGTGCCAGTCATGCTGGTGTGTGTGCCACGCCCCGCAGCCCAGCCGGAAAGATGACGTCCGTTCGCTGAACCGTCTCCTCTTCCCCTCTTTAAACACGAGTAGAACACATAATCCCTTACCATTTTGGCCATCTGCTTATCAAAAAAACATCTGCGATGCAATCTGGGCACCTTTGGAACAGCGCACCACCTACCATGGGGGTTGGCCGTCTGCTTCCTTAAGCCAGCTTCCAGACACAACCGGCGTAGCAGTTGTCGTTGCAGCCACTTCTGAGTTCACGGGCGTAGCTGTTGTTGGTCTAGCCATTTCTGCAGTCGCCATTTCGGTTTTTCTTGTCTTGTACACCTTGGCCCTGGCTGACGGCAATGAGTTCCCCTCACTGCCCTGCAGATCTTGCGGATCTAAGTAGGGCCTTTCCAGAGGGAGAAAGTCCACATTTCCTGCTCCTGCTGATGCTGCTGGTAGCGTTGCTGCATGCACGGATGCTGCAGGTATGGAGCAAGCAGAGAAGTCATTGATGCCTCTCGCATACTGCTCGATGCCCAATGTTTGCGAGAAATGGCCCATTTCCGAACACCCAGCATTGTCCTTTGCAGCGCAGACTCCTCGAAACCACCAGCTGGTGTCACCTCTGCTGTCATCTTCACCCGAGCCTCGTGAGTCGCTTTGCATCGTTTCCAGACACCCGGCATTCTCCTTCGCAGCGCAGACTCCTTCAAGCCACAGGCTGTTGCCACCTCCGCTATCAGCTCTGGTATCACCTCTGCTGCCATCTTGACCCTTGCTGTCTGAGTTGCTTTGCATGGTAGCCTCGGTATAGCAGACTGATGCACTCATGCAGCGTGCTGGGCTTTGAAACATGGCTCCCTGCCTCTTGCTTGTGTTGCCTTCCGTCATAATTTGTTTGAACTCGGATTGAGATCCTGAAGATACTCTTCCGGGTGATGGTGCTGGTGCTGGTGCCAATGTTGGTGCTGGTGCTGGTGCTGGTGCTGGTGCTGGTGCTGGTGCTGGTGCTGGCGCTGGCGCTGGCGCTGATGGTGCTGCTGATGCTGATGCTGATGCTGATGCGGGTTTAGGTGTCAGTGCTGGTGCCAATGCTGGTACCAATGCTGGTGCTGGTGCTGATGCTGATGCTGGTTCAGGTGTCAGTGTGGGCGCTGGCCCAGATCCAGGTAGTGAGGGAGCAGAGAACGTCTTGTTTCCGTTGTTGTTCCTAAGTGCAACCTGTAGATGCATGCGATACGAGAAAATGTTGCGAAGAATTCACGGGGAACCTCTTACAGTACGAATAATTCAACTTCCAATAAAAATGACAGGGAAATACAGAACGATGCATGGAGAAGAAACAAAGCAAAACAAAGTACCACAGAAAGCAAGTAGTTTGTACAAATACTGAAAGATGCATGGTCAGATACAGGCAAAAACATAAGTACGGTGCCCTACCATGAATGCCTTCACGACCTGGGGGCTCTTTATCCGTTTCTGCTGGTAGTTCCTGAAGCACACACGCAAGTGTAGGGTATGGAAGATTAGATAGTCAAATGTACATACACCTGATCGGCATTCGAAATAAGCAGATTTTTATAAAGCGCAACAAAGCGTGTACGCTTCGCCCGATCTAAAACCGCTGTCGCTGATTGCGAGCAGAACTCGGAGAGCTTAGAGGATTCCGATCCGAAGCTGTGAGATATTTCTGTCGCTTGCTGCGGGAGGGAGAGCAGATTAGGGTTTCCTCTTTGTAGTACAAGGAGACAAGAGGTAGGGTAATACCGCATTCGACATCGAGTTTTACCTCTTTATGATGATAAATCGGTTGCAACACGCCTTGTTATCGCGGCGCGGCAGAAGACCGGAGGACTGGAGGACTCCCCATTGGCTGGTGCCATGTCGTGCCACGTGTGTGAGGAGAACCACGTCCTCCTGTCGAACCAGCGAACGGCGGAACGTGCAGGAAAAGTAGGAGAGGCTGGGTTACTACAGTTCTAGAGCTTCTAGGAGTCCCACGTGAGGAGCCTCTGAGCCCCAAACGAGTGGATTTGAGCGAGCAGCACTTCACGAGTCACTGCGGAAAAGCGGGAACTTCATATAACATCTTTTTTCTTCGTGTGACGAAAGAAACGAGGTTTCCTGCTGATCGTTCGTTGGGGAACCTCGGATTTCGGCTAAGGCTTAGCCGACGCGTCGTAACCTCACCGTTGCGTTCCAAAGCGGCCCCGCTTGCCGAGCCGTTGATGATGCCATGTCGGCTAGCGCGATCGGCGTCGACTTCTTTGCGGCGGGAACGTTCTCCGTGCTGTGTCGATGTCTTGGCGTATACTAGTAGGGCTGCTTGATGATGTCACACCAGAATCAGTCGAGATTAGTTGCTTAGAAAGGGCCTGTATTTGAACGTAGGGCACTCAGCAAAAAAATGCACAAAAAGGTCGTCGCCGAGGCGTTTTTAGCTGTCAGCTAAAAACATCATGATGTTGGTATATGCGCAGCATCGGCGACCGGCAAAATCGTGAGGGTTCTTCACATCTCCGCGTCGGTCAGCGTTCCTTGCGTTTGTAATACAAGCAAGTTCTTTCTTGTGGCAAAAGGCGACCTCCTCAGTTGCATGGAACGACCTCGGGTTTCAGCCAGTGGCTTCTCGAATCTCGACTCTGACACATTGGGGTGTCCAGGGGAATGGAGTGATGGTCGTGGGATAGTGTTGCAAGGCAGCTTCAAGTTGTCGCTCTGTGTGCAGCACTGAAACTTGAAATTGCTGTCTCGTGAACTCTACTTGATTCCGTGGTGGCGGTCGTTGGCACATAGGCCACCTGGAGTGGGTGTGGTTGATCAGTGGCGGTGGGTCTGGAGTGTGTGGGGGAAGGGAAAGTGGTCAAGAAGCACACGCATTCAGTACATTTCGTTCGGTTGAGTAGGTTTTATCGCGTTTTGACATGGTTTGGTTAATTCCTGAAACGGCTGAAAAAGTCTTGGGAGCAAAATGCATGTGCCTTTATGACGCGCTCCTATGGAATTACTGTGGGAATGTTTTATGCTCCCTTCCACGTACACTTGTTTCAGCCTCCAGGCAAGCATTGTTTTCACGCGTCTCGAAACCGTAAACCAGAACTGCCAATCTAAGGCAAATGGGACGCCTTCGGCCCAAATTGCTGAATTTTGGCGTCGAATTGACAACGCACTCACAAACCAAGTTAGGACAGGGTCCGTTGAGTCCGTTTTGCAGAAATTGACCATGGAACAGCTTGTTTTGATGGGTTTCAAAAGGTTTTGATGCGTTATAAAACATTTTCAGCGTAGTAAAACACGGTATTCTAGCATGATTGATTTTGGTCCGGCGAAACGGATGCAATGTATCGCGTCCTTATGCTCATCAGAATTGGTGCAGCAAGCAAAATGTTGAAAGGCTTAGGTGTTGGGACTTTTGTATCACAAACTCTATGGGGGCTCGATCTTGCGGCTCGATCGTGCGGTTGATAATCCTAAGTTTTGCATAAAATTGAAGGATTCGGTTAATGGCTTTAAGCTAGAATTTCCACAGTAATTTTCATGGGAATATATTATTGCCCATATTGCATGCTATGTCCAAGTGTTGAAATTCAAAATCACGACTAGCCAATCGACTATAAGGGCAGATCCAAATAGTCCATACCCTATTAATTTCGTGAAAAGTAACCCAATTTTCATACCAATCTGATTTCACGATGACATGTGCACCAATTTTCCGTAACTGGGGACACTCGAAGCATACAAAAGTACATGTACTCAGTCAAGATTCGTTTACGATACATGTGATAGTTCGTGTATGCTTGGGGACGGGTGGACAAGAGTGACGCTTTGGAGTTTTGCCAAGCCAGGCTTGGCAAGAACAAGATGACCTCGCGAACAACTCACGTGGTGCAACTCCAAATCGCCCCTGCCACTCGCGTGGCGGTGCTCGTTTTATTTCTGTTCACAATCAGGGACGCATTTTGGGTGGTAAATGATTTTGGGCTCGTTTTCAATTTCTGTACTTGAGTTTGTGAAATCGTGTCAAAAACTACCAATTGAACTATTTAAACCCTCCCTACAACTTGTACAACCAGAAATTCAGGGTCTGAGCACGTAGTAAGTGTAACTGTATGTAGGAGGAAAATAGGAGACGATTCTGACTATAGAAGCTTTCCAAATGATGATTTCACACAGTAACTCAAACGAAGTGTACATTCCCTCACATAAAACCACCAGTTGATTTTGTCTCGGCGGTTTCGATTCTTTTCGGCGTTGACGACTGAGGCAGGCCTCTCGCTAAGCCCCAGGGTATTCCGGATGGCGACGGAATCGCCTCAAGATTACCCGTTAACAGACGGAATTCTCCCAAAAAAACCCGTTACCGAAAGGAATCCACCGCTACAAATTCGGCTAGCAAGTGATCAAAGGCGGGGTTGAGCGGGAGAGGAGGGGGTGGGGGGGGGGGGGGGGGGGGGGTGGTGGCGCGGGTTGGAAACCCCCTACAGATTGCCCTGCTACGAGTATAGCCCGCACAGATTCGAAAGAAAAGTTACTCGTTAGGCTCAGGAATCGCGCGAAAATGTTTCCGTAAGTTGGACGGATTTGGGGGAAAGAATCGCACTGTAAAAAGACGGAATCACTTGGAAAGTTACTCTTAATTTCTCGACACTGAGGGTAATTACCCTGTTCGAAAGAGTCCTGCTGAGTGGAGGTTCCAGTGTGGGGTGGCACCACGTTACTTCTGGGCAACCTCTGGGGCGAGTCTCTGTCCGTTAGCAGCAATTGTCAACCAAACATGGCCAATGGCCATCCGTACGCCAAAAACAAGCTGAGGTGGAGAAGTGCTGACTGCAGACTGCACACATCGCTGAGTCACTGTAATTAGGGTGCCATATGTGCCCCCTACACATGATGCCCGCCGGAGGCCTAGCTCAATACGTGGCCCAATCAGGAACCATCGCCCATTAGCGTTGTCACACGGGCAACGGCCCACTCAACGTGGGCCGTGAACAGAGCCAGCAGTGCAGCGTCATCATGACAGCGGTGACAAACATGCGGCACAAGACGAAGGATGTGCGCCACAACCTTTTTCGCCACAAACTTCCAGCCGCGCTCGGAATAGCGCTCCGGCGAAGGTCAGCGAGCCTTTCGTTGAGCTCGCAAAATGACACACGCCTCGCTGGGTTTGTTTGTGGCTTGAGCGTCGCCGCATGAAACCGAACGCTGACTTGGCAGCGAAATGGGGTCGCGATGTCCCGATGCCAGGGGTCGTTCTCAACATCCGACAGCCAACCCAGGAACAGACTCGAAAACAAATTCCCACAATCCACGCAGTAGTTATTGTTGCGACACGAACCTTGAATTCGTAATATAAGAAATATTTAAAACACGCCCGTAATATTTGGAGCTGAAATGCGACTCCAACACCTCACCCCATCACACTGAGTATAAAAGAGAGCAAACCAAACCAGAAAAAATCACTCAACATCTCACCCGCCAACCACCACTCTGGTGCTACACTAGGGAAACTCTCTCAAGCTTGAAAGCGTCGAAACTTAACACAGGGTAACTAAGTGAACAATGGCTCGCCAAAATATGCCACTCAAACCTACCCCGCAAAACATCAAAATGGTAACCTTCGTGCCCGTGCGAAAGGCCCACATGCCCGTGACGATGCCGTGCGAAACCCGTGCGCGTTTTTGTTTACCGGCACCCTGAAAAGTTGTGTTCCTCTGTCAGGCTCAAGGTGTATACAGTAACTCGTTTGAATCAAGCGTGTATGTCAGGACGGCTGACACAGCGCGGAACCAACCGCTGGGGGTATTTCCTGAGCACCCGAAGCACTGGTGGTGTACTCTAGAGCGACGAGTGTTTGACCCCACAGAGAAAGACCTGAGCACTGAACCGTCGAGAACTCACAGATGTTAAGGTGACACTGTGGGATGTGTTGAAGTTCGCTCGGATACTCTGGGAAAGATCGAAGGAGCTGGCTCAACCCGTTCTCGTCGGTATTTTCTCGCACTTAGCCATATTTGGTCCAGAGCAATATGAAATTCCATTTCACAATGTGATAAGAAGCCGATCTGGGCAATGAATGTGTCCGCTTTATTCTGCTACAGCGAGTATGCTCTATGCTCCAAATCCGCAACTCGCAAATATGGACTACACCAAATCCAGATTATAGGCTTCAGCGATACTGTCCAAAAAACTCTCTTGAGACCAAATTACAAATGTTTTCAGGTTATATCCCTCTATATACAGTCCACTGTAAGGTGTACAGCGGCCCTATCCATCCAACTCGATGACGCTGGTGGGCTGTGCAATCCAGGCACGAACCAATCGGATGGAGCTTATCAAATTCTTGTGGCTCGATTAAGTGGTTTAGCGAACCTCCTAGGATTGTCGTCAAGTAATCGCCGTCCATTCAGAAGTCATAACGCCACGTAGGTGTAATCGAAAGTGGCGACTGTCACCCCCCCTGCTCGAGTGGAGAGTTTGACGTCCACGAGGGCAGGCTTCGACCCCCTAAATCACTGAGGTGGCGGGTGATCATGCCACCTGTACAGTTGGTTGGCCTCCCTTCTCGTCACGCCATCTCCCCCTTGGGAGCTGCATTCCTTCTTGCCAAAATTCCTATTTAGACATGGAACTCCGGAACTTTTTCAACCCGTCTCCGCACCCGTAACCGTTTCCAGTCGCGTTATCAGCCCGTCACAATGCCTCGCATGCATCGCAGGGCACAGATTCCGATCGACACCAAGCGCGCCATTTGCAAGCATGCAAATGCGAACCCGCATCTTCGCCTCGACGACCTCGTGTCCTGGTGCTTCACTCGTTACGGTCTGCTGCTTGACCGGAGCACTGTTGGAAAGATTTTGAAGCAAGAGGCAAAATGGGCGGCAGCTCCTACCCAGCAGAGGAACATTCGTGTTCGTCACGGGCAGTATCCTTCACTCGAGGCTGAGCTTAAGGCATGGATAAAAAATACCGGCCCTGCAGGTATTCCACTAACGTTGGCGCTTATTCAAGTCAAGGCCAAACAGCTTGCGCGAATTATTGGTCTTCCGGTCGGTTTCAAATGTTCGCTGTCCTGGATCCACAAAGCGGTGAATCGCATGGGCTTAAAAAATCTGACACGCAAGGGTGAAGCAGCAGATGCTGACATGGCTGCCGTCAACTGGGCTCGCATTAAGCTCTCCGAGTTGCTGCTCCTGCTTGGTGTGCATCTGAAGGACCTGTTCAACCTCAACGAGAGAACACTGTTTATCGCGTTCCAGCCGAGGAAAACGTGGGCTGACGACACAGCGGTCGGCCGCAAGGCTGCAAAGGACCGTGTTACTGTCGTCTTCACGTGTAACACCGACGGCTCGTCAATGCTGAAGCCAATGATAATCTCCAAGGTTCGCCGCCCTCGCGACTTCAATGAAACCAATTTCGACCCTGAGCCGTGGGTGCACTTGCGTTACAACCAGAAGGGGTGGATGACCAGCGAGGTAAACACGCATTCGAATCGCCCATCCCGGCCTTCCATTCCCTACGGAACCTGTACATTTGTGTCTGCTGCTATTTTTCACTCGTCGGTTCGTACACACTATCCTTTTTCTTCCAGCTGCCATTCGTTCCAGATTTCCACAATAGTCTGAGTAACAGCATGGCCCTTTTTTTAATACCGTTATGTAGGTTTTCACGGTGTACATGGAATCCCTCAACGCTGCCATGTTCGCTGAGGGAAGGTCGATCG